GTTCTTTCGAAAAATTGAAAGTAGCCTTTGGCCAAAAGAATTACTCCTCTGAGATAACTAATAATAATAATAATAATAATAATAAAATAGTGAAGCTGCTAAGGTGTTCAGTTCTACTACATCTGGGTAAATATATGCAACAAGTACAAGAATCAGAGAGAGAATTGTAGAATTTTATTTTATTTTTGAACAAGTTAATGCTGGAAAACCCAGTCTATTCATTCAAACAGTAAACTCCACCAAAATGCAGCAGCATTTCAAACGAGAATGCCTATTTCTTCTCTTACAAGGTTTTCTCAACACTCACTTACGTTAACACTCTTGTGGTGTAACTATAGCTATTCTTTAACTCCCACCAACTGCAATTTTGTAGCGAATTGAGAACAAATCCTGCTATCATCTGAACCATTCTTTGAACTACACTGTTGCTGAGACTGTTTGCAATGAGCAATTGCTCCCTCCACTGAACTTTCCAACTCATAATTTGCACTGATGCTCCTCTTGAAAAGTTGCAAATCATAGTACCCAGCTGAGCTGAGAGAAAAAGATGAAGATGAAGAAGAGGACCCGGATGAAGATGTGGACAAAGATGAAGCCTTGGTGGCACAATGTCGATGAGAAACCCCAGAGAAAGACCTCCTGTGGTCACAGAAATCATCTTCAACTTCAAGCATCTCTCTTTTAAGGGTCTTCATCACAGCACAAGTTACCTGGTGCTGATTGTTATCATACAAACTCTCAAATGGGCTTCTCCTAGCAACCTTCCTGTACTTGTTCTGACACTCTTTGCACTTGAATGGTGTTTTCTCTGCTCCCATGTTGCTTGCAGCACTGGCACAAAACTTGTCTGAGCAACCAGATTTGCTGAACAAAGTTTTCAGATAAGCTCGTGAGGCCTTCAGTCTCTGGCCAAGCAAGAACTGCTTCATCTGTTTCAGTTTCTTGGGCCAAGACTTCTTGGGAAGATCACCGATTAGGTTGTTCATGTCAGAAAACAACCCAAGTGGGTATTCAGTTGGGATCACATCGCTGCTAACTCGGCGTGATTCTGTAGGTGAGATGTTAGATTCAGTGGTTATGGGAAAAGTTCTGCGTTCCAACGCGGAATCTGTTTTCACATACTCAAAGTTGGCATTGGAGTTTTCTACGAGCTTTTGAACCATTTGCAAACGAGGGGGAAGGTGAAGAGGAAGGAGTTTTCCTTTGTAGAAGAGGTCATCTGCTGGAGAAGTTGATGACTCTTTCTCACTCATCTGGAATTCAAACTCTCTATTGGATGTTGGAGAACTAAGGGAGTATGAGAAGAAGTTGGGGGAGGAACACAGTTCCATTTCAATGTAGTCATCGTCTACATGAACCAAAGTAACTTGTTTTGTTGCCATTTCATGTGACTCTCTTGTGACGATGGTTTTCTCTATTGGTGTCTGTCAGAGTATGGAGATAGATGCCTATGGGAAATTGAGCTTCCGCAAGGAAAGAGAGCAGGGTATGCTATAAAAAGTGGTGATGTTGCCAAAATACAAAAGATATTTTATTCATTTATTTATTATATTTATAAGATTTTAATCTTATCACCTTTGTCTTCACTTTACTCTTCTACAGTTTGAAATAAATACATCTACGTTAATACAAAAGCTCTGTGCTTTTAACTTATGTATGCATGCTACTTTTCAAGCATGAAAGAAGGTATTATTTTATCTTTCCTTACTAATTTATTATTCCTCCCTTTTTTTGAATCCAAGTGTATAAAAAAATATTGGCTCTCAGAACATGCATAACTGTGAATGATCCAAAATATTCGAAAATGTTCAAAGGGGATTCAAAATTTGTGGTCCTATGTTAAGCTGAGATATTGTTAGTCAGTGAGTGTAGTCATGGGTGAAGGATTTCATTTTTATATTTTTTTTTCTTCAAGTTTAATAATTGTGTTTTTCCAGTGTAAATTTGTTTACAAAATCATCCCAAAAAATAGTCTAAATATGGCTTTTAAGTTAATTCTACGAAACCAAATAATTTTCTATGCCTAACCATTTTTTATTAGAGATGTCTTTGATAAATGCATAAACTGTTCTCTCGTTTTTTTTTTATCTCTTTTTTCTTCCATTGTGTATATACCCCAAGGCACTACGAATGCACAGTAGAAAGAGATGCAGCAATCTGCATCAATATCTGTCAAAGTAGTAATAAAAGAGAGCAATGATGATCCTTGAAAGTACCCTGGTTGCTTTCGTTATTCTTTTTCTTTTCCCTTTTCTGGCATTTCTTCTTTGTGCACAAGTTCAAATCGATGATCTAATTCTTACCTTTCCCATGATAGATTTGGTTTATTGAGCACTTTTAGAGTGGATATAGCTAAGGAAAGTTCTACTTAAGGTGCACAGGAGCATCCAAATTCAGACTCTATGAATCATCCGTAATTAGTGGTTAACATAATTGGTCCATGCCATGTGTTAGATGAACACATTCATTCTTCAATTGTCCTGTTCCATTTGAGTTTGATACGTCAAAGTACAAAACGAGAATCTGCTACTCAAAGGAAGATGTTGACACTGACCTTGTTTTTATTGAAAGTTTCAATGTAACACACTAAACCTTCCAACTGGTTCCATGACAAAGAAAGTATGAATGGCATGATTTATATACTAGATTGAATCTGATGAGGAAGCAGGTACATAGGGAGGTCTCAATGAAATGAATCTAGTATCTACATCCCTGTCTAGCATACATATCCTTATCTTCTCATACATGATTAAGGGTACTTGGCCGGCACAATACGTGTATGAGAAATGCATTAATGCAAAACTGTTAAGTAGGACACTACTAGTAAAAAAATGATTGAACTTTGTAATGGTTAAGTTAAATGTTTGACTTGAAAGGTAAGTGGAACATGGTTTGTCAATTTCTTCGTTCATTAGCCAATGGACTCCCCAAGACATCATTTTTTCTTTATTCTAGAAGTTAAGTTTTCTGCAATTTGCACATTCGATAAGGAAAAAAAAAATTGTGAAGGGAATTTGTTTTTCTCATTTACCTTTTTGTGGCTAATCTATAACTGACCAATTCTACATTATTCATCCCATGGAAGGCCCCATCCATCTTTCTTTCTCAATTGGCTTATGGGCAATAATTCACATTCATGGTGAGTGATGTGCTCATTTGACCAGGTCAAGATGTAAGATATTTTAATCTTTTCACCTTTGGCTCTTGGCATGTGTTATATTACGGATTTGGGGATTCAAACTTTGAGGTTTGACCTCAAAGAAATACAAAAATGAATACATTGGGAAGAGACAAGTAGGATCCTATAGGCTATAGCATTGGACTAACGAAATGGTGAAGCATAAGTTCATAATCATAACCCTCTCTCCAAGGCCAAAAGGACTAGCGCTGGTTTCGAGATTGAGAGGGTAAAAAGCCACTAACATTGCTCGAGGGCAGTTGTTGTTTCTGTCTCCCTTTGTCGAGTTCTCTGTCTCAAACAGATTCCCCAAGCCAAGTTGAGTTTAAGTAAAAGTCTCAAAGAAAGAATGTTGCTTTCATTCTGTTTTCAAGACCTTTTTTTTACTAGTCTGATATGATGAGTTGTTCCACAAAACAAGGCCCACAAAAACAATAAAAAGTTAAAAGCTCTTAGAGATCATATGATTGTTAGTTTGTTAGTGATGTACTAATGGAAAGTTTTGTTCAAAGTTCCGTATCAACTAGAGATAATATATAAGTGAGTGTAAATTTCATCTTATAAATTTGTTTTATGAAATTGAATTTGACTTAAAATCCATTTATGATATCGTAGCCAAAACACTGGTATCCTCTTTCTTATAGGAATCAATATCTTTTTTTTTATTCAATATTTCTGATGAAGATTGTTTCACCCCATGTAAGAATTTATCAATTAATAAAGAGAGTTAAGGCATTTGTAAAAGCATAACACGAGGAAGGTAAATATAGCAAGTGCAGTTTATAGCAAATTTAAGGGAAGGAAAAAGAAAAGGCTGCTGGTTTCAGACTCTTTTCTTTAGTCATCACTAAAGGACTAGAAAAATGTCAGTGCCACATCACGTGCTTCTTATGAAACTACGTTCACATGATCACTTTTCCAGAACGATCCTTTTATTTTAAAGGTCATTGGGTAATTGTGAGAGAAATAATGGGCCACACACATAGCAAGAATGGCAGTAGCCGGATTGAGTGGAGAGTGTCATTGCAGAGATAAAGGCTCCTTCCTCCTTTCTTCCTTTCTTCCACACTTCCAGGTGAGCCCAAATGGTATCAACCTTATCTTTTTCCTTTTACTTTAAATCAATTAAAAGGTCATTTTACTTTTCATAATTGGCTTTCATGATGACCCAGAAATGCATGCAAGTTATTCGTTTGAAGGGTAAGTAAACAATAGTACTACTACCACTTATGTCCGCTGGAAGGAGGAAAAGGAAAGGAAAGAAATTTTAGTACCATTCTACCACAACAAATGTCCCCTACACTTTGAATCAACAATCATTTATCTCAAAACAGAATCATATCAGTAAAAGAAATAGGGTCACGTAAACCCGTCAAATCAATTTTAAACACCATGAAAACCAATACAAAAGACATGCCTATTACAAGTACAGTAGTTCAATGTTTAGTGAATTACAGAAACTTTAATATATATATTTTATTCCATTTGGTTATATTACCGAACATTTAAATTAACTCACTGATTGGATTAACTGAGGAGAGGTTATTCAAGCTTACTAATGGTGTTGAATTTTAATCCTATTTAACGAGTTATATCCACCAAAAAAAGTTCTTAGGTTTTATTACAATTTAACGAGTTATATGAACCAGTGGACCAAGTAAATGAAGGTAATTGTAGCCGTATTTGTATTGTACATGACCCACAATCCTCAAAACCGACCAGGACTATGTACAAAACAGCTCGTCACTCTTGTCAGTTGTGTTATAAAAACGAATTTTCTCAGACAAAAATGTTACACAAACAAGGTTTATCTAAGAAAGTTACATGGTTGAATATATCTATGTACATTTCATAAACGATGAATATGATACAAATACAACTATTGGTGTACCAAAGCTGTTTCATTTACATCTGTTGAGTGAACTACTGTTATCTGAGTAGCGGTAAGCCAAAATCACAGCCTTCCCAAGACACAGCACAATGTTGCCTTTTCAATTACATTCTTTTTACAACATCAGTGGTTGATATTTTTTCATTCATCTCCTGGAGCGACGATCATTGTCAAGAGCATCAAACTCCCAGTCACTTATCTCTTCTGATGAGTCATCTTCACTTAATTTATCAAGTTCTATTTCTATTTGTGATCTTCCAGGCAGTGAGAAAGAGTGTCTCGTTCCATCTTGCCTGTGTTTTTTAGCCGAGGGAGGAGAAGGAGTTCTGGAGATTATTTGACTTGATGGTGTTTCTGACCTTTCGGTTGGAATCTCAAGTTCCAGTTTTGGCCTCTCAATAGATTCAAACTCCTCTTTTATTTTCTCAATATCATCAAACAGTTGTTTCACCTTGTCGCTGTCTTTTCTATATCAAAATTGTAAATGTAAATGGGAAGAAAAGCTTGTGTATGTATGTTAATATAAAAAAAGAAAAAGAAAAGAGGCCAGGGATGAAAGAGAGGAAGACACAAAATACCTGAAAATGCCTTCCTTTTGAATGTGAAACTGCTTGTTCATTGTGTCCACTACATTCAGAATGGCCAAAAACTAACAAGTAGAATAAGAAATAAGCATTTGTATAAGGCTACAAAATCTGGCACAACAGTTTGACTGAATTTAGCCTTATCATGTCATCTCCCAAATATAGTTATCTTCTAAGTGAGGCCTGATAGATTTTCATTTCACATAATGATATAAATCAACATTGAAAGAAAAATACCTTGGATTCAATATCCAAGTATTCTTCTTCTAGCTTTTTCCTTGGCTTTGCTAATTTCAAACCTTCAATGTTTGCCATTGATGACATTGCTAACCTGATATAAAAGTCAATAGTTGGATGCATGGTTTTTAAACAATAGACAATTCAGAGAGGCAGGACACCATACCCTGGTTTGAATCTTAAACTCTCCACAAGTATTCTTATTTCAGTAACAGACGAATACAATTTTTCCTGACATATAGCAAGCCGGTGATCAGAAGATTAGAAAAATGCAATATGTGAAGATATTGATCAATCTAGGATGATTTGTTACCTTATAATAATGCAGAAGATGAACCACCAAATTCACAAAATGATAACCATATCTCTCCAGTTCAGCACTTATGTGCAATAAAGAAAAAAAGACAATATGAATATTAGTAAATGAAAACATGAGAGGAACAACATGCCTAAAGCCATTTGCATAATAACTTTGAAATTTGTAATATGTCCACATTTATCTGATAATATTTATTTTCGTATGGGATTAAACTACAGGACATACTTGACCTGCTCATCCTTTCTCTTTGTGAGTGAAGTTTGGAAGACCCATGTGCTCTCTAGAAACTTGATCCATTTATCAACAACATTCGCTTCCACTGTATATGAAGTAATTGCTCGCAGCATCTCCTCTTCCTAATATCAGAAAACTTCATGACAATAATAAAAATAACAAGGTGCATTACATCATATTAATAATTTTAGGCTAAATTTTACTTTTAATCATTCATCATTTTTCTTTATATTCAATTTGGTCTCTTGTCTTTTAATAACAAAATTCGAGATGAACCCTATTGACATAAAAGAAACTGTTTTCAATTATGAGAAACTTACTTTACAGCAAGTACAAGTTGCTTCTCACATAGAAGCCTATTGACATAGCTAAGAGACTGTTGTCTCCATAACTTAACAAATCTCCTATACACTAATGAACCCCTTAAACTCAATGTGCTGAAAATTAGCTACAGATTCAACAACATTGAGTTTGCAGAAAAATAAACCTAGTAGAAGAAAGGGGTTTAGCAAGAGCATCAATTCATTATCTACAACAGAAATATAATAAACTTACCATGCAAAATTAATTACACACAATTATAAAAACATAATGTTTTTGCGGTGGTTTTGAATTGCTAATAAATTGATCGTAAACAAATGGATTAAATACCCAATTCAGTCTCAATAATACTTGTACCTAGGCATGAAATAAACTTGTACCTTTGATTTTAGAAGTAGAAGAATTTCATTGCTTGCTTCATCAAATTGCTCCCTTTCTTCTTTTGCGTTGTGGAAGCGTATACGTGCAAATGTCAACAAGTTGTTGACCTGCACTAATGTTTGAAGCTTATGTAAGGCTAACAAAGGATGGCATCTAAATATCCATGAAGATCATACCAAAGACTGAGGAAATTGATTGCTTATTTAATACAATCATGTATGCACATACACGGTAAACTTGATATGCTTATCATGTGTATGCATAAAAACAAAATAAAAAGGAAGTAATCTTGAATGCAATTAAATGTTCTTGAGCACCATAAGTCAAGTCCTCAAAGTGAGTAAGAAAAAATAGACCTTTTTCAGTTTTTCTTCAAGCTCGTCTTTCTCCCTCTCGAGTTCTTCAATCTCCAAGGATAATTCCTGAAAAATTGACATTGAAATATGACTTTCTTAATTTGTAGTTCGAACATTCTGAATTAAATTTATTTCAAAAAAAATAAATTTGTGCTGGGCAAGTCTAATGCAAACAACAACTATGTAATTCGTTAATAGAGATATTAAGCAATCGGTTTAGTTCGGTTTTTGGTTAAATAGTCACTCAAATCAATCATGAAAATCTAATCTGAAATGACTTAATTTGATTTTAATTTAATATAAAATTTGAATCAAACCAATGGGTCTATTGTTGAGAGTATTCAAGCATAAATGCGATTATGAGTCCAAGCCATATTTCATGTGTTCGTAAGTGTGGGATCATCTTCTCACGAAGCTTTTATCCCCTACTGATTTTCAATTTTTGGAAACCATACTAAATGAAATTAAGCATCTTACTGTTTCGCACCCAGCTTGAGTTTGCAGGAGGGAGTGTAAGTGAATAGTTCCTTTATTTTGTATTATGTTAGTTTGCTATAATTTGTAGACAACATAACTCTATGTGAATAATTCTCATTCGCGTCTTGTATATTATCCATGCAAACAACATTACAATATATAGACTCAAGTTTGGCTTTTCTTCTCCAAGCCTTACAAAATTGCTAATAGCAATGCAATAACCTCCTGCCCTATGCACTTTTAAAACATAGAAAACAACAAAATAACTACTGATAAAATTTACCATAATAGTAACTCTCACAATTAAGTTTACCTAACAAAACTTCCCGTAAACTTAAATGTTTTTCTTATCCTTCATCCCGACTTGTCATGTTCACTAACTCCTCCTTTCCTTCCTTTACTTGTTCTCCGATGAAGTGAAAACACACACCAATGTGCTTGCTTCTTTCAAAATTAAGTGGGTTCTTCGCTATCTCGGTGGCTGACTTGTTTTTTAATTTCTTGGTACCTGACTTGTTCTTTGATTTATTGGTAGTCGACTTGTTACTAATCGGGTTCGTGTCAATGGGTCGAGCTCCTTTTGAGAGATCAGACAATTTCCATGCCCATTTCTCATCAGTCTCCTCATCCATTACAAGTCGCTTCTTCTCATCTTGCACTTCCGATGCAGCTCTAAGATCCTTCTCGGCTTGCAATTGTTCATGCGATCTTGAAACTTATAAGAGTTCCATGCGCCACTTATGCAAAATCTACTTTCTTCTCTCTAAGCTTACCTGTAGAATTGCATTGCCTCTAACTTCATTTTCAATTCTTTGTTGCTAATCACCTTTTGCAATCTCTAACATTAGAATAACAAGTTTGTCTCCTCACATCTGATTGCTTTCACTCGTGTCAAGATACCACACCGAGTATCCCCTTCTACCCAGACACCCAACTAACTAATCCGAGTTGTCCAGGCACCCAACCAACTTACCTTGGTTGTCCAATTGCCCAACCGAACTATCCATGCTACTTGGATGTCTTGTCGAGTTGCTCAGTTGCTTGTGTTGGGTCTATTGAAGAGGGGGTTCACCGAGGAGATACAAACACCAATAGGGATGACAACGGGTCGGGTCGGGCACGGGTAGTGCCTACCCGCAACCCAACCCGCCGGATAAAATTGTACCCGCTACCCGACCCGCTACCCGACCCGCTACCCGTCGGGTACCCGTTTAAAAAATACCCGCAGGTATTTTAAAACCCGCGGATACCCGCAAAAAATAAAAAGGAAACATTTAATACATATTTAAAATAAAATTTAAATAAAATTACAAAATATATATATATATATAATATAATATAAATTAAATTAAATATAAATTAAAATATAAATTTATTTTATTTTTAATTAATTTAATTAAAAAATATATAAATTATTTTTTTTTTAATTTTTCGCGGGTAACGGGTACCCGCGGGGCGGATAGTATACTACCCGTACTCGACCCGTCTAGAAGCGGGTATTAAAATACCCGCTACCTGTTACCCGCGGATAGTAAATATCCGCGGATAGTTACTATTCGTCGCGGATTTTACCTGCGGATACCCGTGTCCGTGGGTAAAATTGTCATCCCTAAACACCAATGACATATGAACCCAACCATATAAAGGATTGACATCACTCTCTACCCAAAACCTTAAGGCAATTGGTTAATGGGTCTTTCATCTTTATATAATGCTCTACTTTCTCATTTCTATCCAATGTGGGACTTGGACTCACACTTGGATTCCCAACAATCTCCCCCTCAAGGGTGAGTCCCTTCCACATAGGTACACTCCCCCTCCAGCGGAAGCATTCCCAACCAACCACAACCACGAGTAGCCCTTTCCAACCGCCGTTCATCTTAACGGAACTCGCTTACCTGAATACCCTTTTCCCGGAAGACTTTCAGTATAGGGACTATTATACTCGTCTGAGCCGGTCACCAAGACGAACCATCGGCTATGATACCACTGTTGGGTCTATCGAAGAGGGGGTTCACCGTGGAGATACAAACACCAATGACATCTAAACCTAACCATATAAGGGATTGACACCACTCTCTACCCAAAACCTTAAGGCAATGGGTTAATGGGTCTTTCATTTTTATATAGTTCTCTACTTTCTCATTTCTATCCAATGTGGGACTTGGACTCACACTTGGATTCCCAACAGCTTGCGATCATCCTCGAAGCTATGTGTCATCATCAAAACGCCTCTTCCTATTAAACATCTTTTGTGAGAAAGTTGGTTGTCTATTCTCTTCCATTCTTAGATCGACAATTTTTAGCAAAATGTCTTACCTTCCAACAACGGTAACATTTGTCCAAGTAGCACTCCTTTGAATAATGACCATATTTTCCACACATAAATCACTCAACATTTGAGATTCTCGATCAAATTTCTCTCCATGGACCTCGTCCTCAGATTGCTCTTTCTCTTCATCTTGACCAGGACCCCTACCTCCAAAGCCATTTCTTTTACCTCCTCGATTTCGTCATGTATTCTGAACTTTCACATTTGAAATTGACGCCTTCATTTGGAGTACTTGATCAAGTGACTCCGCTTTCTTCTTCTTTCGATGCTCATCTGCCTCAAGAGACCCGACAAGCTCTTCATCTGAAAGCTCTAATAGGTCCTTTGAATCCTTAATCGCGTACACCATGTTCTAAAATTCGTCAATTAGCGACCTCAAGATCTTTTTCACAACTCGGCTAGTGGGTAGCAAATCTCCATTTCTACTGAGTTGGTTCACCATAGTTTCAACCCGAGTGATGTACTCAAATACTCCTTTTGTCTCCTTCATTTTCATACTTTCCAACTCAACTCTGAGTGTTTGAAGTCATATCTCCTTCACTCGGTCATCTCCCTTATACACACGTTCAACTGGGCATAACCAATTCATGGTGTTGGTTGGTTATTCATGACCATTTTCCACCACCTCTCAATTATCTTGGGAGCCAAGAAGAGCCTTTATTTGTAGACTCCAATTATCATAGTTGACAGTTTTTGTTAACTTAGGCAAGAACATATTTTTTGCTAGATTGACCATCTCACTCTTTTCCAAACACTCTCAAGCTCTTATAACAATTTGTATACAACAAGTCTCTATTTGAATAATTTTGATTTACGTCTTGTACATTATCCATGCAAACAACATTACAATAAATAGACTCAAGTTTAACTTTTCATCTCTAAGCCTAACAAACTACTAATTAAAACAATGACACACTAATTGCTAATAGCACCACAATAACCTCCTTACTTTTGCACTTTTAAAACATACAAAACAACAAAATAACTACTCATAAAATCTACCATAAACAATAACTCTCAGAGTTTAGCCATCATAACTGTCTTTTATTGTTTTCTATTTGACAGTGACAACTATCAATGTGAAGTTGTTTGTTAATAGGTATTGGGTGTTGTTAGTCAGTTGTCCTAATTGTTTTCATCAATTAGATGAGCTTATGTTGTCTACATATATTTCACCGTTAAAACTAATATACATAGAGAAGAAATCAAAGATGTGAGAACTATTACCTCCACCTTTCCCTTCCCTCCCAAAAAAACAATTTCATTTTTCTTTTGTTGATAAAACCTTAAAAGGAGGGCATGACACCATCACCTATCAGAATTTATTATGACACTCACATATAGCCTCTAAATGAAATTCCAACATAAATTGAATTCAAGAATTATTTGGTAGCACTATTACCTAGATGATCTTGTTGTATTTCTGCTAGGCCACTGTTAGGTTACTTTATGCAAATAACCTAATCTATACTCTCTTCTCACCTCAACACTCGATTAACACAAGATAAATGTATGTATAAGTATTTTATTAATTCTGTAGAGTATGAAAATTACAAGTGTAATCTCCCCCCAAGGAAGCCTATCTCCCTCCACTGGCAAATATGCCTAGTCTTTACCCAAAAGAAATAACCTCATGAACAAAAATAAAAGAAGACTATTTATAGTGTCGCC